TTGCTCGTGCTCTTTGAAATTTCAGAACGTTTTCAAAATAATTACTCATGTTGTAATAGACGTTGGAGTGTTTGATGCTTTGGGCATTTTTACTCTCCAACAACACCAGTTTATGCTGCCTTCTCATTATCAAACCATTGGACGCATTCAAGCTGTCATAAGCTATACATCATCTTTACAGACAATATAGGGAATTAAATATGTCACATTAGTCTATTGAAATGTATTTTTATCTTGTTAAGAACCTGTCAGCTGTCTTTAAATATATAACATTGAAAACACGTCTGATGCAATGTTGTAATGTTTGCAATAGCGATAATATGTTACTTAACAAGATTTTAGGAAATGCCCTTTCTATGAGATTTCCTCATCTCTTTATAATTATAAACTTTTATTTCTTTAATGTATTTTGTTGCATATCTATCGTTCTTTTCAATTTGCTTCATTGAATCCAATACTTAAGCGTTGGGAATTGAATACCTCCTTGATCGGTGCTAGGGGGTGAGAGACTTTGGACTTTCTTATCTCATTTAATTTATTTACTATTTGGTTTTATGTGATAATCCGCACTTTTACTTCGTAACATTATGTTTTAGTCCGCTGATATTAACGATCCTCATGTACATTGCCAAGTACTGGGATTTTGTTATTTTTCCGTGTCGTTACTAGCGGGTTACAATAAGTGAATATGAAATTCACTAAGGGTGATAGAACGACATGTTTATCCTTGACGAGGTAAAATGTACCCTTGACAAGATAATGCCAACGACGGAAGTGTCTCAGTTGATGGATGAACTGTCTTCCGTTCTCTCTCGCCCTCAGTGGAATAAACAGACTGAAACCGACTTTGTGATTTTCAACTATTTTTTGTTTGATTGTTCTTGAGGGATCTCAGCGTTCAAGAATTTTAATAAATACTTTTATGTGAAAACCTTTGTATCATATTGTATGCAATTTGGAATGTTCATATCTACATTATACACATTTGAGGAGTCGTTCACTCTTTGTAAAAGAAAAACTGCTTCTTACATAGAAGAAAAGCGGCAAATAGTAATTGCTGATGGTCTAAAATGCTTTACTAATATTTCAAAGTCTTCTTCTTTATATGCATATTTTATGTTGAACTTTAAAATGAAATGTTTGTTGTCGTTACACTTAATTTGTGCAATTAAAACAGACCTTAAGCTTCGATGTATCTTATTCAACATTTTATATGATTTTACTGTTTAAAGCCTCGGCACATATAGACGAAATGTTTGGGAAAGAAATAACACATGAATAATTTTATCTACAGAACGGGCAACGGAATCATAAACAACTGATTACATACTGGAAATGTCGATTTTATTGGTGGTTGATTCAATTAGAAGAAAAGGAATATCATGAATTGTTAATAGCCAAGTCCCTCATACAAAATTCCATTTTCATTATACTTCTTCTTTTGCAGCTTCCTAACTAAACTTCTTTCAAATATCATTTTCGTTTTTATTTAGAAATTAGTTTGTTTACATCTCTTCTAGAATTTTTTAAATTTTTAAATATAGGCAAATTATTTTCTAATTATAGCTAACTCATAATGACGTTCGTCCCTTTTCTTTTCTTTACACACCTCCTCTATTGTTTGTGATAGGTCTATATTTTTCGGATAGACCTGTTTAAACAAAAGAAAGTCCGTTAGGAGGTCTATCTTTTGCACGTGCACAGGTCTGTTCTAGTCAGACAGACCCAGTCATGAAAAACACGTGAAAAAATAGACCTGCCTATGCGCAGACAAAGAAAACATGAAATACAATCAAAATTTGAAAAATGAAAATCAATGTATATGATTGTCTTAATTATATTCCTATCTTACAAAATCTGGATACATTTTTTAAACAAGATAATGTTTCTTGAATGCAATTATTCCAACATTCCTATATTAAATCTAAGAATAACATAAATTAATTGCATTTTAAAGTTAGGACGCATTTCACATTTATTAAATCGCGTCATTTTTTCAAAGTAATAGTAATCTAAGCGGTTCTTCTGTCATTAAGTTCAGAATATAACAACTATGGACGCTTCACGTTCATTTCTATGAAACTATAACAGTTTCCACAGCATACTTATTACCATTTTAAATCACCTAATCCATAACATCTTAAACGTTCTAGAAAATTCATAGTACATGTATATACAAATTGTACCAAACATTCATATCGAAAAATATAACATTCAAACGCATTTGTGATTGAAATAACGTACATTTGATATACGCTTTGCCTACGAAACTGCAGCTACCCACAGTTAATAGCGAAGTCCCTAGTAACATTCCCACCCACGGGATTGTTAAATCCCCGTTAATCTCCCCCTCTCTCTTTGAGTGCTTCATCCTGTCTTTCTATTCAATCGGTGAAAAATCAAAACTGATTTCCCCTGAAAACCTTCGAATCTAGGGCTTAGTTCCAAAGAATGCTACAGGTATAATCCAAAACTTGCTTATAGTGACATGCATATACAAGTACTTTAAGTGGATTGGTTTACAATGGGAACACCTCCCATTAGTATTTCAAATATCGATAGAACCGATAGAAATGTATCATTCGGATATTATTAAAAAATCTAAATAAGAAATGTTTATAAAGTTTAAATTGATTTAGCACAAAAATTTATATGAAAGACGATCATATTTTATTCTAGAACACTTAATAATATCTGCTATATCAAATACTATTTCGGATTATGTATCCTACACTTGTCACAATATTCAATGTACATATGTAAGTTTTTTGTGGTATGCCGGGTATCCGGACATTTGCCCCTTAGACAGTTGCGTCTTGGAAGTTTGCCCCCTTTTTGCAGTGGGGGACATTTGCCCCGTCATACCTTTGTAAGGGGTGAACAATTGCCCCAACCCCCTTTCTCCTGTTTTTAAAATGTTAAAATATTTAACTGTTTAATTGGTTGTTACAAAAATTCATCGCCTATTGTCGAGATTCTATTGTGCTTTAATAAACAAAAACTAAGCCATAAATAAATGAAATAATATACATAACATTTAAACACGGAATGACTTATGACAAGTGACAAGTCGCCACAGCAAAAAAAGGGGCAAACTTCCGAGAGGGCAACTGTCCGGGGGCCAAATTTGAAATGTTTGATTCGAAATACTATCAACATAATTATGCATTCTTACCTTCAAGTACAGACCCATTCGCTTTATTTTTCGACAAATTGCACATTTAGCCTTTCGATTATTATTTTAAAGGGAAAGGCAAAGTTAAATGAAAACTATATACTATAATTAAGCAGAACGTTGATAAAAGCTTACCTGTTTATGCGCAGTGTTAACAAATAATCTTTGTGCATTACATAATTTTTTTTTTTTGGATCAGCCATTACTCAAGCCAATAGTTTGACGGTGTGTAAGTTGGATATCAGCCTCGTACATCGATCTTTCTGTTTAGGATAGACCTGGTCACGAATTTCATGAAACACCTCGAGCGCTACGCGCTCTCGGTGTCACATGAAATTCGTGACCAGGTCTTTCCTAAACAGAAAGACCTCGTACTCGGTCGATATCCTATACATAAAACATACTACGCAAATTACAAAATATTTATTGATAAAGAGTCATAAACAATTGATTAAGTTCCAAACATGTCAACTTTATCAGAGCTATGTTGATTACATTAACGGAAATGGATGGTATGCATTATTTATTAGACAAGTGAGGGTCCCTGGTGGTGGCCTTCACAGGCGTTTCTGGTTATCTGAAATATGTTGTTGTCAGATATATAAAAATAGATTCTCCTGCTGTAAAGAGCTATATCCAACATACATTTCATTCAATAACATACAACAAAATTCTCACAATTTTTTTTAATTAATAATGTATTCATTATACTATAGTATGTAGGTGTGTAGTGAAGCTGTTTATTTATACTTCATATATTGACATGATGTCAGGTGTTTCTATAGTATTAATTGAGACCTCTTTCATACACATTAAACACCTGCGTTCTTCAGCGTCTATGAAAATGAAAAGTCATCGTAACGTGATATTGAATTCTGCTTACTTAGGTGAACATTTAATTTGTCAAATTTATGACAAACAATAAAATAACATCTTGTTATGCTCTTCAATTCTGTGCTTTATTCAAGTGAATGCAATTTATTTTGCGACACGCAATTAACGGAAAGTTTATCTTAATCTCTATGGCAACAAAATATTTCATGCACTTTTTGTATTAAAATTTGCTTGTATTTATGCGGGTTTTTTTTACCACAGTTTGTCTTATTTTAAAATTCTAATGCTTTTATTTAATAAGATTGACTGCTTTAATGACGAAAATTGAAATATCTTACGGACGCCACAAACGGTAAATTTCAAATGCAACCCTGGTATTTAAACAAAATGTTTGCATTGGTATATACATGCTTTACAATCTATAAACTGTCATTAAAATAATTTCTTGACTTTAAATGTCTTATGACCAAGCAAATCATGTACATGTATTATAAAAACAACTAAATCAATTTTTCAACCTGAAATGTTTTGTAACACACCGAATTTAATTCATCTAAGAAGCAAACAAAATGAACAGCTTATCAAATAAGCATTACATTTTACAAAATAAAAAATATGCGATCACTTTTATAAGCGTGAGAACATTTTTGGAAATATATCTACAATTCCTTTTTTTAATTTCCGCTTAAATAAGAAAAGCAATTCCAATTGCCTCAATCGAATCTCTTTGACAATGTCAAACTGTCTACCCTTAGGTAATCAGTCGTTTTGTAAATGAAACTAGATAAGAAAATACGGCATTCATTCAGGCAAGAGATCATTTAGAATCTATCTAGCTTTTATGTTCCTCAAACGTATAATTCTGCGATGCACTGAAGCATTAATATACATCGAACACGGCTTCGTTTTAATAGCTATCCTTTTACATGAACAGAATAGCTGTATATCAGCTTATATTGATTTTCTCTTTTTCAGAGTAAGGGGATGCATAAGCCGTATCAGATATCCAATAGAATGCACGACTTGGAAGAATAAATTCCACATATAGAAGTGCGCAAGGAACACTTGATAGAGTAGGTCACATGATGCGGGCGATTATGAATGTTTCCCGATGGAATCCGATTTTCATCATTACCTGTAGACACAACATTCTCGGAGACAATGCTGACTAAATAACATGTTTTCCTCCTACAAGACAAGATAGATATGAGTGTTTTTGTTCAGAAGGAGGATTTTAAAATTAATCCTATTGTCACGTGAGACGTATGGATAAAAAAAAACAATTGTGCTGGAGATACCTTGTTTTAAAAATTTAATCGGAGTGAGTGATGTTTATGTGATTGATTAAAGATGGAGATAAAATTACAAAGCTATTTTGTTAAAACATAATGATTACTCAAAACAGACTTCAATTATACGGTTACAATAAAAGACACATTATTTATCAGTAAGTTATATTTAAAAGTGTCTGAATCTAATTAAGTCAAGAAATTGATAACTAGTGTTTTAAAATTTACATTTAATGGCACGTTGAGAAGGATTTGGTTTGAAGCAATTTGAATAGTGATTTTTTGATAATGGTACGTTTGGGACATGTGCTTGTATAGGCAAAGATACCGTGCATGATTTCACAACATTCATCATTGTCTCATTTGCATAAGTAAATAATTCTATCACACAGAGACCTGTTATATTTGTGTGAAAATACATTTTCAATTTGTGCATAATGCATTTATTTGATTTTTTCATTATGTAAAACATTTTATGCATGCAACATGGTTAACGTATTCAATCAATATTTAATTGACACACTCTGTGTTTAGTCATAAAATGTATCACGTGTAAAAGGATAAACATGCTATTTGTTTGGGATAATGTTTCCAATTTCGAGTAAGTTAAATATCCATGCATATAAGTTCTGCCTTTAATGTCAAAATCAAGATTTGGAAGACAATAACCAGACATCTTTACGTGATCATCTGCTTTAGAATTTCTGGAGAGAGAATTCAATTAATTAATTGGATTAAGGAATTCTTGTTGGAAATGGACAGTATGCAAACATTGCTGAAAAGTAGTCTACAAGATACAGTAACCCAGGACGTATTTATGTAAGAAGAAAATGAATAATTGATAAGTAAAGTTTGTTTGTACTAGTTCAATAAATAAATGAGCCTACATTAATTCTATTGTAGAACGACATTGAATGAAATAGTTTCTTTGTGTTATATGTGGTATTAAACATTCAGGTATTGTTTGGTCAAAAGGAAAAGGTTAGTTTAGTGGATATACGAACAAGTTTTCTATTACAATAGTGGATATAAGAAAGAAAAGTGGAGTAGATACAAAGTCGATTGCAAAGAAGTGGTCGTATTATTACTGTTTCATTTGGAAATAACTGAGATATGGAAGTATAATGGAACAAGTGTTGACTTATTTTAAAATAGGATTACATAGTAAATATCACCCGCTATTATAAATTAAAGTAATACCTAACGTGTGCAAAGAGCTATATTACATGTAAAGGTATTAATGAAAAAGTGCTACCTCTTTTGTCTTTTTACTAAATTAAGAACGTCGAGTTGACGGGAAACCGTACACTTAAAATTCACAAGAACTTATGAGGATATTGTTCATAACGGAAACGAGACATTTAGTTATAACATGATGATTAAATGGTTACGAAACATGCCTTGTACCATGAAACACACAAGTTTCTGGCTCGGCATATGCTTATTCTATGCAATTATTAAAAGCGGTAAGTATTTTAGTAAATTATGTATCATTTCTTTTGAATCATCAGTTAAGGTATTTTGATTTTTTAATTGTTTTTATCTGAATTCGTTATTATTTATTGTTTCATATTAATACTCAGATTTTCATCCTGAACGTAAATTATATTCTCGAGCTCTTCATCTTTTGTTTCCAATCATTTTTTCTTTATTTATTTTTTTCTTTATTTATTTTTTTGCGAAGTATTATGTTTCTGTTAATAAGGTTAATAAACAGATTGTCGTTAAATATCAGTTTTTCATACACATGTAAATATAAGACAGAATTAATCGTTATTATATTCAGTTACACAGCTTTATTTGTTAGATCTATGAGTAAACAACCAACGTAAGTAAACAGCCAACGATCATTAACAAAAGTTGTTTATTGACAGTCTACTTCAAATAAATAGATAATTGAAAATCGTCTTGAGAAAGAGGTTAAGATAAATTTCCATTTTACAATTTGGAATATATATTAAATTAAAGACGTTAAAAATAATTTCAAACATTAGAATAAAAATTATTTTAGTAGAATAACAAAAAGAAAATAATAATTTATTTAATGGAAAAATTGGAATATCTTGTATAACATTTTCTACCTGTTTTCAAGATGTGATAAAGCTTTCAAATGAATAACACACAACTTAAAGTAGATTGGTCTTCAATTTTCACATTTTCCATAAGTATTTCAAATATTGATAAAACGATAGAAATGTATCATTTAGATATTTTTATGAAATATTTCTAGAACAAAATGGTGATAAGAGTTCTAATACGATTAAGTATAAACATGCATATGATTATTAATAATATTAATGTTCTAGATCACTTTATCTTTGCTATACTTGTATCTTATTGGTATGTCACATCTAACAAAACAAAAACATCCATCGATTATCCCGTGGTTTGTTTTTAAGTATGATACTAAATGCTGTCAACATAACTATTCATGGTATCACAGATCTTCCATTATTGACCAATTCGCTTTGAGCTGAAACATAAAAATATGATATACATATAAATTTCGTAAATAATTGTGTTCATTAGTCAATAAAATTCTACAAAATGATAATAATCATACTCGTCATAATCAAATAAACATGATCATGTTACTACTAATATTTCTCACAATATAACCATATAATCCTGAAGATAAGGACGTATATCGTGCACAGTATTAGAGACGTTCCTTAAGTCACAAGGGGGAAAACAGACATATATGCCATACAAGCTTGTTTCCTGTTACACTAAATATCAATTTCTCAGTGTCTAGATATGGTATTAAGAAATCAATGTTTTATGCGTGGAACCAGCCTGGAAATGACAAAGAAGTGACATTAATAATGTAACAATTGTGTTTCATTTCCTTTTTGAATATTTTCAACGCTTGTCGATTCTGTAACTTACGATGTCCTTGAACCGGGTCATATCATACATTGACGAAAGACAAACATGATTTGGCAAAAGAACTTATACAGATGCAAAAGATCCGCAAGATTCGAAATTCTGTAGCATATAGAATCATATGACATAGAAGCAAATGTTTGTCTTTGACTATTGTATTAAAGGTACAATTATATCACCACGTTTAATTATCAACAACCTTCTCTTGTTTCAAATTAATACAGCTGTCACATATTTCTTTTTATTTTATTTACACAGCAGGTTGCGGAGCTTTTTTGTGTGTGATTTAAGGGGGTGGATGAGGTGGGCTTATATATTTTCAGTCTTTAAAATATGATGTTATACAATTAATTTTATAATCGTTGTCATTTTTATACACTAACATTGAGCTCGCCTAAGAAATGTTTAAACATTTTGCATAATCGCGACTATATTACATCGTCAAAGACACGTTTAATAGTGAGTATATAAAAACAAAATGGTAAGATCTTTTACATGATAAGAATGTTCTAAAGAATTCTCTTTTTTCCCACCTATAGTAAGTTGTTTTTTTTTCCTTTTAGTAAATGATCAGGAACTTCATATATTTTCTTTATTTTTGAATGTTCTTTCTTCCAAAATAATGAACAACTTTAAATAAAGAACTTTTAAAAAGCCAGCAGCAACCAAAAACTGTATCAGTTACAGGTTAGTGCTTATGAGAATCGTTTAAAAGATTTTATCAAAATATGCAAAAGAGAATTGTACTTATTTGTAAAACGAAACAACAACTTTTATCTATGTGTTTAGCTGCATGCTACGAGAATCAAACCCACAAATAAAAACAAAAAGAAAAAGAAAGAATGCTCCAATGTATTCTATTCAAAGTGTGTTGTTCAAATGATGATCAGATTAAGCTCATAATTACGAATTAACGGAAAGAAATATTTTGTTTTAATGAAATACGCCCGGGGATGAAAGGAATCTTGGAATCTTTAGCAGGATACTGCAATTGATTTGAGTAACACTAACCTTAACAAATTCCTTTGAAGTTCTTGAACATTTATTGATCTGATTGATATCAGCATTTTACTGATATTGATTTATCAGTTAGGTGTCAAGAGCGGTGGGCTTTGATCTGTAAGCCATTCTTATTGTTTTCGTTTCCAGTTACACATTTGTCTTATTTTTTGTGATTATTTTATACACATTTGCAGAATAAAACCAAAATCATTGGTTCAAAATTATTTCATCGGAAGAAATTTTTTTAATAATGTTTTGTTCCTAAAAAAAAATAGAAGAAAAAACATTCGTGTATGGTGATCTATTTTTGAAACTGCTAAATTGTTTAAATTTCCTTAAGAAGAATGTTTTACTTTCTTTAGATAGGTGTCTTATTGGAAAGAAATAAACTTAAATTGTAGTTATACTTAAAATTGTTTTAAAACATGAGCAGTAAAAGTCAAAGTTCTCAAAATTCGTTTTTGTGTTTATATATATCTATTAAAGTGTATAAAGATACATATCTGTAAAATTATTGAAAAAAAAAGAAAAATAAAGAAGGTAAAAATACGTGAGTGACGGAAATTAAGTGTGATTGCCTCCTTATAAACGAATTGCGCATGCACGAACACATTATATTTTGTTCTGGAGCATTTTATTCTGTTCACGTACACTATTCACCTGTCACAAAAATGAGAGATATTCTGTGCGAATCGATCATACTATCATGGAAGCAACATGCTTATGTTACCCTTTGATAAATTAATCAGAATACTTTATAAGATATAGCTTTATACCCTGTAAAATTAATAGCGGTATATTGAAAATAGCAATGTCATGCGTCACGTACACACAGCTACTTCAAACATTGTGATCTCCCTATATTACTCACTATATCATGAGAAACGAATGATACGCCGTAATGCTCGTTATAAATGTAACATAAAAGGCGGTAATATAATGGTAGTTTGACATGAAAACTAAAGCGTTTCATCTACAAAGTTTCAATCTAAATCCAAGGCGTGAACTTCCTGGAATGTCTGATGGACTATAATAAAAATGGCAATATGAGTGTTAAATGCGTGTTGTTTTTCTTCTTTAATGTCAAGGTCATTGAGCATTTAAAATGCTTTTTTCTGAGACAACAATTGAGGCAAGGAAGCTATCCGTAATCTTATAAATTATTTCTCAGTCTGAAACGAAAGCATACTCACAGAAAGATCGAGTGTGAAATAGCAAAAACGTAAATGTTATTCATCACGTTAACCATATTATTTTCTTGAGCATCTATCTGAAAAAGATCGGGATCGGCGGGACAAAATTGATTTTAAAATATTTCAGCTAACTTTGGCTTCAAAATTTAAAAAAATGTAATGGTTTTCGTCTGTGTCTTAAAATAAGAATCTACAGACAGATTTAAAAGGCAAGCTTTGTTTATCTTATATTTAAAGTTTTCTTTAACTTAACTTGCTGCTAGATTTATGTTATTGATTTGCACTGCTTTGAATTTATAACAGCCTATTTAATGTTTAAGCAATTTCAATATCAAAATAAAATAACTGAAGCTCGTTTAGAAATTTTACTAAAGCTATTTTTTTATATATATTTTTGTTATTGAATGTCAATAAACATATTTGTTAAATATATTTTAATTGAATAAAGAGAAATATTTCTGAAATTGTAAACCAAAAGGACACAACATTAGGCTTTTATTTATAAAACGTAAACTATTAATAATATAACCAATATGTATGATAAAAAAATATGCTTCGCAAACATTTCATTTTACAACATCCATCAATTTTCACTAAGTTCTTATCTTACCCAAATGCATAAAACATTGGAAATGTTCTGTATTTTAGGAAGCCTTCAAATTTAGCTTTGTCAGCATACCAGTTGGAAGTCAATAATGCCTCAGAAATGCATTTATTTCTATTTCTCAAAAGCATTCTAATTTTGATGTACTTTTATAGTATAGAAAACGTAACTCAGTTGATTACCTGAACCATTATTTCTGTACAGTTGTAAGACATTTTGTTTACATTTGCTACTTTTATGACTAATAATATCACATTTATCACTTCTTTCGTCAAGTAAAAAGCATCAAACATTCTCTAAAACCATTAACTTAACATTATAAATTTCATGTTTGCCCTTTCTAAAGAGGAAAAAATATTTTGTTTGCGACATTATGTGCCTTTAAATTGGAAAATGAAGTTGGTAATTGATTAGTTGTTTTTCTGATTAAGAACGACAAAACCATATGCTGGCTGTAACCATTACAAGTGGTGTTAGTGACAATAATTCCTGCTCACTTTAGGCTTGCAATCAATTGCAGACTAGAATAATCAAATATAAAAGCAATCAAGTTCTTGTCGTATTGTTCTCTTTTAATTTTGTATGTAATGCATGAATCGTTTAATTCAATTAAATCTTTACACTTTTTTAAAATCATGTTTATCGTATTAAACAATCAAAAAATTTCGTATCCTTTAGATTACAGTTTCTGTCTTTAGTTAGCGCATTTTCTTTAACTAAAAACAATGATTATGGTCAGCACTGCATTATCAATTTCAAAACGGTTTTCCAGGGGCAGGTG